GGTATCGTAAGATATCCATGATGTTTTACCTTCACGCCTGGCCTCTTTCATTTTAGGTAGAAGGGATTTCCTCTTATCAACAATCTCTTTTGGGAACTGTTCATTCACAAAATAAGGGGTACCTGACAATGATTTCCACTGCTTTCTAACAAACTCTTTCTCCTTATACATTGTAAATTTGGCTACAATGTTGCGGATTCGCCCGTCTCTTTTGATACCCATCCGATGAACTCTTTCAAAAGACATTTGAGTCACTAAATCTTGTGCAATTTTCATTTTTTCAACCAGAAATTCTCTTAATACAGATTCTGTGGTTTCGGCAGACTCAGTCGGGGCCTCACTGATATTTGAAAACACAAGATTATTACGCATTGACTGTGATTGTAAATAAGTCAGGTCATTTTTAAGTTCATATTTTTGATTTTCAAGTGAAGTTATCTTTGTACTTGTTTGAGATAAAATAAAGTCCATACTCTCAGTTTTTTCTTGGACCTCGTTAAGCTTTTCATTTGATTTTTTGTCCATGTCATATAGATATATCCAAATCTTATTTAGTTCAACACTGAAACTTTCAACTTTTTTGTTCAGATTTTCAATAGCATCAAATTTTTTGTCCATTTCAGTAATTCTACTATCTATGCGCTTTAAATATGAAAATATATCTGCATTTGACGGTTGCTCAGAACTATTGATATTCGACGCCATGTTGCTTGCAGGGTGGGTGGGGGTACTAAGTTGCTTCTCAGATTCATCAACAAATACGTCAGTTGAGTTTAATGTATTAATATCCAAAAATCGTTTATTTTCCTTTTTTTCACTGGTTAAAAAATTTTCACCTTGTTTTGATCACGTGACATGTTTACAAACATGTTTACGAACGATAATCACGACAATATTTTTTTAAAGTATAAATACTTTGGATCTTTTCAAAAGATAATAATAATCTGTCGATAAAATGAATAATTATACCATATAGCTAAATAAGTATGTACGGATTTCAGATAGTTTATTTTTACGTACATATCTAAAAGTATATTTTGAGTATTAGTATTAGCAAAAAATGTAAGCTTATTCTTTATGCAGATGATAGTGCAATTTTATATTCACATAAAGATCCAGATGTTATTTGTAATGTTTTGGGTAAGGAACTAGAAAATTGTAGTAAATGGCTTGTTGATAATAAGCTATCATTACATCTTGGTAAAACAGAATGTATTGTTTTTAGTTCTAAGAGGAAATTGTCAAAACTAGAGCAGTTTAAAATACACTGTAATAATCACACCATACAATCTCAGCCATCAGTAAAGTATCTCGGTTCTATCTTGGATAATGATCTCTCAGCCACTTCTATTGTTGATAATATAGTACAAAAAGTAAACTCTCGATTAAAATTTTTGTACAGACAAGGCAACAGTTTGAATATGGAGCTAAGAAAACTATTATGTAACTCTTTAATACAGTGTCACTTCGATTATGCCAGCTCATCTTGGTATAGTGGCCTTACTAAACAACTTAAACATAAACTTCAAGTAGCACAAAACAAAGTTGTTCGTTATATTCATGGTTATTCCTCTAGAAAATCATTGAAAGTTATTGATTTTAGCAGTATTGGGTGGCTTAATATAGAAAATAGAGTCATGCAATTAAGACTTAATCATGTACACAAAATATTTAATAAAAAGTGTCCATCTTATATGTATGATAACTTTTCTTTAAAGTCTGATGTTCATTGTTATAATAGTAGAAACAGTGTCGGGAACTTTCATATACCCCATGTTAATAGTTTTACAAAAAGTACATTTTTTTACCAGGGTATTAGGGATTGGAACATGCTCCCACTTGATATTAAAAAGGAAAGTAACTTTTTTAACTTTAAAAAGAAAGTAAAAGCTGAACTAAGCAAAAATATGAAACAATTTGAACAAGCTGATTTTATTTTTTATTTGTTTTAGAGATAAGTGTTTTAATCAATATAGTATGTTTTATATGTATCTTGTGATTGGTTTTGTGATATATATAAATAGATATCTTTCATTGGTGTGTTAACTAGTCATATTCATAGTATTATTCCTGCAAATATGTGATATATGTAATTAACATAATGTGCAATAGAAATTAATATTATTTGATCTTAGAAATTTAACATCAGTCCAGTATATCATCTCTAAGTATGGACCTGAATGCCAGTTCTCAAGAAAATATATTCTTTACCATCAAAGGACCCCATTGGAAATAAGTTCTCTATTTTATATTGAACTTTCATAGGTTATCCTGTGTTGTATATATTGTCTTGAAGTCAACAAGATCTTTGATTTAATTATGAATGTAAAGTTATTATTTTTCAATTAATTACTGTGTTAAAAACAATGTGATAGATATAACTGTGATAAATTGTCTTAATTTGTTTTGTAATATGACATATATATATACACAAATAAATCAATCAATCAAAGATGTTTGAACAGCTGGGTGATAATATATAGTAGTTCTTTACACGGACTTCCGTCAGTTTATTTTTAAATATATGTGTGTATCTACCTTTTAATGAAATATTTGGACACCTGTGATTATGAATTATATGTAGTAACAGAAGTTGTTTACACGGACTATTTCTATTTACGTCTTTCTATTTATACCTTAATAAGTTATTTGTATATTATCATATAAATCACAGTAATATTTCTATACCTTACATATAAAAGTACCATTTGAAGATCTCAATTAAACATGTGTCATATTCAGATACTGAATAGTAATAGAAGTTTTGACATATGTTTTAAATCACAAACGATTTTAGATTTTAATTATATAGTATCATAATTTATTTAAAAGGATTTTATATAAAAAACTTTCTGACTCGGATTGAAGGCAATAACCATATGTTTTAAAGATTTTTATATTATCTTTCTTTTTGTCCAAATAGTAAATATCAGCCGGTAAGCTTTAAAACTAAAACTAATCGATAATTTTAAAGTCGGACCAAGCTCATAAAAGACTTGTAAAGAAAACATCTTTTAAAAAGGGGCTTTTCTTTCAAGTACATGGACGTGTATTCAATTACCTGTCGCCGTATGAATGTCCAGTATGTTTGCAACAATAGTTTACTTCTGTATCTTGTTAGACTGTATATTGATCGAAGAACAAGGGGACATCCCCAGAAGCAATGAAAAATTAGCCCCCCTTCCCTCCATTTTGTTGTTATTATTTGCAAATTTATACAGTAATTTTTTTTTTAATCTTGGCCTTTAATTGTTTATTTCTTTGTCAAAAAGGTAATACTTTTTTGCTTTTACATATCCCGCTTAAACATTCGAAGAGATGAGAAACAAACAATCGATATGCTAGACTGCACCTAATTAAATTAAAACAATCAAAGATGTATTTTTCCAGATAAGCCAAATACTTTAAGAAATTCAAATATGAGCAAATAAAGATTTTGAAATTATAAGAAAGGAGTTAAGATTTAAATGATAATGTTCATGTTATGAGCGATTAATGCGTGTTTTTGCATAGTTTGACCTCTGTCTAGTAATTAACGTAGATTGTAAGTGTTGTTTGCAATTTGTAAATTATTTTCTTTGCTCACTTGACAAAAGTTTTCTTTTTAAAGACATTTTCTTAAATTTTCTCGAACATAAGTATGAATGTAAGAAGCATGTTGTTTTAAGAATATGCTAGTTGACGGGACAGTCATCTTAAAAATCGCTTATAAACTTGTCATCGACATGTATATTTAATCAAATAACTTCATTTATGCCTCAGATTGAGATAAAGTTTCCATTCTTTAGAAAGAACAAACATATCTTGTGTAGCTCTGTAGCTTGTAAGATGTTTATGGCTAAAATAAGTATAGCAAAATGTGGAATCATTTGTCATAAAAGTAACAAAATGTAAACAAAGCAGTATTTTGACTTCTTTACTAATACTAAATTACTTAAATTGTACTAATTGCCAAAAATGATAAGGAATCATTAGCTGATTCAGCGATTGACCATAATAAATGTTCAGACGCTATATAATGGGATATCAGAAATAAAAAGTAAAAGCATACTGGGGCTTAATTGGTAGACCTTTAAATCAAATTTAATTTACCTATATTGTAATGAATTAATTTTCTTAATTTTATTTCAACTATTTTCTATTAAATTTCATATGAAGTGATTTATTCGCGAGTTCATTTGGATTCGAGTCCATGTTTCCTTGAGTTCATAGACAACAATGAATAATCACGACTCATTTACCGAAAACAAAATTTTAACATTTGTTTTTTTTTTTTTTTGAATTTGCAATATTGTCGCGACTTTTGTCTCTTTTAAGCAAAATTTATTGTCTGTGTCATTCGCTCAACGTAAGATACAAGACAAACTCGAACGTTACCTTGAATCAATGTTAATTTTATAATATTTACAGGTAAAATTACAACACAAATGTATCTACAGTCAAAATGAAAGTTGATGTTATGTTTATAAATTCACATGCTGCACATACCACGTGTAAATCAAGACGAATATATGTAAAGATAGAAAACAATTACCTTCATTTCCTTTAACATCCAACATGAAAACAAATTCAGCTAATTTGACAATTGATCAGTAGATCTATTAACAGCAAAATAATATTCAAAAGGGAATAAGTTTACAATTAGTGTAAAACAACATGCGTATGTAACATCTGCTAAGCTTATTTTAATACATATTATCAAGGAAGATTTTATTATTGGTTGGTTACAATCATACTTTAACCAATAGATATACATTTCAAAATTTGAAAATTACCATCATCCAAGCAACCAATCATATTCAATTTTCTAACACATTAATCAAATGAAATATGTGTTGTAATTAAAAGATGGAAATTTTAAGTGTCCAATCAAATTGTTACACATCAAAAGCATTCGCAATAAATTGAGTAAATCTGTAAAATTGAACCATAACGCTAAAGCATCAGAAAGGAGTACCTTTTTAGTGAATTAATTATTTTCTGTAAATTGTTTATTCGAGATGAAGGGTGTGTTTTTGTTTCTCATAGCATTAATACTTTATGTATCTTCAGTGAATGCAAGCCATGGTACAGATGTTTGTGAGTATTGTTAATCATGTTATGGCATTTATTGAAGTGAATATTTTATTTAAATTGACAATGTTAAAGTTTGCAATAGGAATCAATGTTAAATTATTTTTCGTAAGTGCTAGCCAATTGTATAATGAGACAATTGAATTACATAAAGGGTTATTATGTATATTGTTAATTATTATATTTCCTGGGACGTTTACATATTCATTTATCTAAGTTCTTGGTAAGTGATCAGTACTGGACTGAAATTAAGTTTTGTTATTATTCCAATAGTTACAATTTTGTTCAGCATTCAGAAGAGGTACATTTGATGTAACAATATCATCCGGAACTTTTTATGTAAAGGTGAAAATTAGTTCCAAACAGCACTAGTCATGTTCTGTTGAATTACTAGTAAGAGCACAATGATAAGTAATATAATTAATATACTTTATATTTTAGTTTGTGGAGAACACATTGACATAATCCCTAATAAAGAGGTAGAAATTACTACTCCTAACTTTCCTGATGTGTATCCACATTATCTTAATTGTACATGGACCTTCTGCACCGTGAATCAACACATAATTGTTTTGGACTTCTTCATTTTTCAACTAGAAGACGACAGCGACTGTGACAGTTTTGATTATGTCAATATTTATGACGGTAAGTTAAATTCTACACACACCTCTACTTGTAAGAATTTATTTTTAAAAATCTGATTGGTCTACAATCGGCATATATACCATTAGTATTTTAGTATTTGGATAATCTGATGAAATATGTTGTTTTTCTTTTCTTTACCCAGGCAAATATATAGGACAGAACCTTATTGCAACATATTGCGGTGATTATTACTGTGAAGATTACGATTGTGAGTTTTACCCATTTGAAGAAATAAAGAGCACAGGACGATGTATGACCCTCTACTTTCATACAGATGGTTCTGTCCAACTCCCAGGTTTCCTAGCAAGGATTAATTCTATGTCTGGCGCATGTATGTAAAAAATTATATTATCACAAACTCTAAATAATAAACATATTTTAATTTTTTACTATTAAAATGATAAGAGAGGTGAAAAATTTGTTCGGTTCAAAAATAATTTTAAAATAAAAGGTTGATATATATTTATTCCATTACATCAGTTTTTAAGCAAAATAATATTATACAATGCTATCACTTATTTAATGTGGAAAGTGTTTCTTTGTAATAGCCATTTACTACATGTATTTCAAAATCTGACTTGTATTTTATCCGTATCTTAATGATGAATCAATAAATAAATTACTTATTTTTTCCCCAATGCAAACAGCGGGCGTAAGTTGAGATTTTCTTATACATTTATTTTATCAATTTAAACAACTGAGTATTTGAATAAAGAATTTGTATCTGTCCATTTACGGATATATTTGGACATATAAAACGTATTATATATGTTTTAAGTAATTGTCAAGAGTTGATATTCGTGTTCGTGTTGAAGTATTGAAAAATAAACTTTTAAAATGATACTGGCATCAAAAGTTTAAATCTTTAAAATAAATAATAATGAATATACCCAACAGACCCCTTTGCACAAAATAATTCTCATTAGTTCATTAAACTTTATTTAGAATCATTTTTATTTAGAATTGTTATAAAGGCTGTGTAAATATTGTTGGTTATGGCTACTTCTAACACTTTAAAAACTTCATCACTTTTTTTAAATTTTAGTCTGGAAAATCAGGCCGCAGGCGCAGAAGTTACCAAGTGGATGAAAAACAACAACAATTTTCTAAGTTCAAGAAAGATAATTAAAAGAGATATATTTCAGATGAAACGTTCTTTATGTACATTTACTATATACAACTTCTTGAAATATCTTAAAAATGTTGATAAACCACAGTAAATGTTTTGAATAAAACGTTTAAACCTTACATGCTTTTGTTATTGTTTAGTCATAAGGTTCATGTTGTGTATCGTATGAAACATTTTGATAGCGGACCTGAGTTTTTACAATTTTCTTGTTAGCTATACAACAAGGATGTCACATTTCTCGGGCAATCGATGTTAAAAAGGGAGAAATTATGTCTGCAATGGTGAATTTGTCCACATCAATGCAAAAAAAATCCTTTTCTAAAACAGCGCAACAGCTGCTGGTCTCTAGGTTAATTAGCAAAAATTGGAAAGCCTTCTTATATTTTTACTTTAAGCTACGAATCTTAATAACAGTATCTATAGAATACAATATTGCTATTGAATCAATGTGGTATTATACTCAAACACAAGAAAATAGTAAATATTAGTTTATAATTTTAAGTTAATCACACAATATGTTTAAACAATTATCAATGACTTTAACTCTTCCTTCCCCTACGTACTTGTATATCGTTAAGAGCCACAAGCCATTGACAGAAGATTTGAAAAACATGTGAGGCGAAAAATAAATGTGACTGAAATTTGGATTCTGCGAAGTTGCTATCGTTGTTAATACTGAATCAGAGGGGAGTGGTTATAAAATGTAGACAGGGACAACGGCATGATAAGTGACATGTCCGGAGTCCATATTCGATAGCGGAAGCTACCTTTTGAGTCTAACCGGACGGATAGATCCTCATTAAACATAGCATTTAGATATTTAATATGGATATGATTAGTGGTAGTATTATAACAAATGTCACAAAATGTTTATTTGTTTACTGGCCATCGTTTCCTAAAAACACTTAATCATTCATACAAAAAAACAACAAATTTTCTATTCATTTCATGCTTTTTGGTAATGCCCCTTGTGAAAATATTGCATCTGGTGTTCAGTCAGTAAAATATAAATCGACCGTAAGAGTCATATAACAAATGCTCATAATTAAAAATATCAAAATTTTCATCTAGCTAAATTTATTTTTTATAACAAAATTAACTTATGTTTCTCAATGAATAACATCAATTGTTTTATATGGATTATCTTTTATTTCCACCCTCTCACATTCTAAAAGCGTCGACATCAACAATTCTACATGTTATATCAAGAGAGTAAAGTACAAGAGAGTAAAGTAAAAAAAAGAAATAAAGTAAAAAACACAAAAAAAAACCCTAAATATTTTTAAATATAGGACTATAACAGCTCCTCGCAAATATTTTGAGGATTTTATAGAAAATGGGACTTAAAATATCTTTTTTAATTTTATATCTGATGTTTTAATTTCAATTCTTTACTGGTTTCTTTTGCTAAACTTAGAGATGCTGAAAGGAATTTAGAATAAGGAAAAATAGTAATTTAACATAATAAAACTTCAAGTGCCTGTGGTCATATAAATTTCAGAATATAATGGAAATAATCGAAGTGATATTTGCGATTATTAACGATTGAAACTCAACACGCATCGGTGTCGTGTTTCTGCATTTAACATATTCGAGTAAAATCTGGTATTTTCAGTTTTTGTACATGAAATATTTAAGCCATATTTTACCTTAAGTTTATATATATGTGGCTTTTGGCATATATTTGGGTAATATTTGGGTATATTTGTGTAATTTGTGCCACCCCGGTTTTCCGTGGTTTTTTGGTTTAACGTTGTTTAATTTAGGCGCAGTCTTGCAGGACGATTGTTTGATTCTCATCTCATTGAACGTTTGAGCAGGATATGAAAAAGTAAAAAAGTGTTTCCTCTTTTCAAAAGAAATAAACAATTAAAAGTCAAGATTTTTAAAGTGAATGTATAAAACTGTTAATAACAACAACAAAAATAATTCAATGTAGAGGGTTGGGGGAAATGGAGTTGTTGTTTTTTCATTGCTACCGAGGGATCTTGCCTTTTTCAGATTTTAGCCCTCGTCGACCACTATACGGTCTAACTAGATACTGAAGTAAAATATTGTTTGCAAACACACTGGGTAGGAAAATGAAAACACTTTCATTTAAACAACATTTTTCTTAACAAGTATTTTATGAACTTGGTCAGAATTTAAAATAACCGATGAATTTTAGTTTAAAATCCTACATGTTGGTATTTACTCCTTGGACTAAGGAAAAACAATATAGAAAAGCTTTAAAACAAATGGAAATTGCAATGAATACAGGACAGAATATTTTTATATAAAATCTGTGTAAACAACTTAATTATGTTAACTTTATTTTTTATATTATCTAAAATAGACAGGCGTTTAATTAAGTTCTTTTGTACGTAGAATTTTGAGAAATATTCTGTGATTTATATTCAATTAATATATAAAAATAGATAAACGTTAATACAAATTGTTTGAATCCGTTAAAACAACTTCTGTTACTACATATTATTCATAAATTAATCACAGGTGTTCAAATATTGTATTAAAATATAGATTGATATATATAGAAATAAATTGTCGTGTAAACAACTTATGTTACTTAAAATTATTAAACAGGTGTCCAAATATATTTAAATTTAGACAGATATACCTAAAAAAACTGACTGAAATCCGTTCAAGCAATTTATTACATTATATATTTTATTTATTTCGTCGATAAATGGTGATTTTAAGGACTATCGTGGTAATTTATTCCTATTAAAAGCTCGTAAACATAAGACCAAAATCAATAATCATTAATTATCTAAAATACATGTCAACCTAACAAACTATTCATTATTCATAATAAAAAAAATTGAAAGATTTTAAAGTTTTTGGTCAAAGATGAATTATTTTTTCAGGATGACTGGACTCGAGGTACCAAAGGCTAATCTCTTACGGTTCAAGCAGGTTCTGATATTTGAATTGAATAAAATGTGTTATATGTAAGGTGACTTTGGTGGTCATTATAAGATAGATTGAAATCAATGTATAAGGAATTAATGTTTTTTTTCTTTTCCTTTGATGTTGTTGTTTTTCCCTCTTTTCTGTTTCTGCCTTGGCAATTTACTCACTTCTTCTTGAATGTTAAACGTATATTTTTAGTGTGTGTACATTAGAATGTATTTTACCATTGTCTTTATATTTCTAGAAAAAACTCATTTTGTAAACAAATGCAGTAAAGGCTAAGTTTGATGAACATGCAAAATTTTTATATTTTTTAATGCCATCATTATCATACGTGTTACTTCCTTACGATATTCACTTTGAAGAAAACGATCTTGTCGTCGCCCAGATAAGAGAATATCTAATGCATTTTGATGACACAAAACAATTTAATGAGTTGTTATCATTTATTTACAAAGTGATAATTTTTAATAAAAAGTCTTATTAGTCATTTTTAACTCCAACATAATAATTTATCAAAAGTGACTGAATATTGTGATACTAACAGTGCCCTCTGTGGTAAACGTTAGATTAATGATAAGCAAGGACTATATATTCATGCAAAATAATGATTATATAAAATACTTATTATAATATATACTCACAATATATTCAAATATTCGAGTCATGTTTTTGTTAACATCACATACATTATGGTATAAACTCACTTTTAAACTGTTACAATAATTATTAGAATAATAGCAGAAAAGGTAAGTATCTATTGACAATTCATCCCCAAAATTTGTTTTGGTCTTTCGCTAGGGTATTAAAAACAATATGTTTTTTAAACAAAATTTGAAAATTTTTCAATCAACTAAAAATCTGAAAAATTGTTTTAAAATATCCCTTTAAAATGTTCCCTTCCCTATAGAAAATTTTAAAAAGTTTTACATAAAGGCCATTGTCATCAAAATTATTTATATAAAAAACAGCATATAAACTAATCATATCTGATTAAACAGACAGTTGACTGACATTTCTTTAAGATAATCAACATATAATTATAAAATGAATATATAAAAGCCATGTGTATCATCAAAACAATCATTGATTTACCAACTTTTTATTTTAAGGAACTCAATTAACAGACTATTATCAATGTCTATATCATAATCATAAACATTCAATATCATATTATTTTTTATCAGCTTCAGTTATGATCAACATAATAATAAACATCATTTGTAATGCATGTATTTCGTTAATTATTGATCTTGTAGACAAAGCATTTTTCTATAGTCGTATGATATGTTAGTGGTCTGATATATAAATTATCATAAAATAATGACAATGACACCGAATAAGTAAAATGTTATAAGTATCTGTTCATGTACAGCAACTTCTCCAAATGAAATAGGGAGTCATAATGAAATAAAACCAGGCCAGGAAACTACATGTCTGCTCCTACTCCACCTTATAAATTTGAATGAACAGAAAATCAGTATTATACAAATACCTTTGAAACAAGGTACATGTCATCGTATACATTGTTATTTTTACTTTTCTAAAGGATATTTGGCTTTGTCGAATAAAAATATAACTCATCAACAAATATCTATTGTACCTTTACTTAAAGTATACTTTTCATTTCTCTGAAATAAGATATTCATTGACAAACTCTGCTTCAAAGAAAAACATTTATTATAATTATACCACTAATCATATACATAGTAATTATCTGAATGCTATGTTTACAGAGGATCTATCCGTCCTGTAAGGCTCAAAAGTAGCTTTCGCTATCGAATATGGACTTCGGATATGACACTTGACATGCCGTAGTCCCTGTCTACATTTTATGACCACTCCCAACTGTTTCAGTACTGACAACCACAGCAACATCGAAGACCCCGAATTTTGGTCACATTTACTTTTTTCCTGCCAAGTTTTTCAAATTTTCTGTCATTGTCATGTGGCTCCTAACGATATACATGTTCGGAGGGGAAGTGTTTGAGTAAAAGTCATTTATAATATTTTAAACTTTTTAAGTGATTAACTTTAAATTTGAAACTTATTTACATTAATTTCTTGTGTTTGAGTATAGTATTACATTGATTAAATAGCAATGGTTTTTTTCTATACATTCGAGTTTTGGAATCGTTACTGAAGGTAAAAAATATAAGATCATTTTCCAATTTTTGCCAATAAACCTAGAGACCAGCTGCTGTTGCACTGTTTTAGAAAAGGATTTTTGCATAGATGTCAACAAAAAAATCATCATTGCAGACATTGATTCTTCCATTTCAAACATCGATTGCCGAGGAATGTGAGTATTATAGAAGTATTATGAGACATCCTTGTTGTATAGCTAACAAGTAAATTGTAAAAACTTAGGCCCACTTTCAAAATGTTAAATACGATCACAATATGAACCATTTGACTAAAAACATAAAAGCATGTAAGGTTTGAACTTTTTAATTCAATTCATTCACAGTGATTAATCATCACATTTAAGATATTTTAAGTAGTTGTATATTGTAAATATACATAAAGTATGTCTCATCTGAAATATATCTCCGCTATGTATCTTTCTTGTACTTGAGAAATTGTTGTTGTTTTCCATCCACTTGTTTATTTCTGCGCCTGCGGCTTGACTAAAATTAAAAGAAGGGCTAATTTTTTTAAAGAGTTACAAGTAGTTAAGCTAACCAACATTATTAACACAACTTTTGTAGGAATTCTAGATAAACATGAATCTAAATATAGTTTACAAAACTAATTAGAAAATGTTTTTGAACACAATGGTATATTTGTTACATTAAGATGGAAATATTCATTATAATTATTTTCAAGATTAAAAACTGTAGATACCATATAATTTGTTAGGTTTATTTTCAAGATTTATCTTAAACACGAACTACAGAAATTCTAACATAAAATCTTGAAATTTAATCAAACGAAACATTTAAAATTCTTTTAAATTTAATGCATTTTACATTCCAAATTTATCAGTAGACTTAAGAAATTATTCATTTGTTAAAATAGATAATATAAGACAGATGTATAAAGAAAGCTGAACTTACCCCCGCTGTTATGCATTGAAAATGAAAAAAAAATCAATTCATCAACAAGATAAGGATAAAATTTTAGCTAAAATTTGAAATAGTAAATGATATTTAGAAAGGAATACTTTTCGCAGTTAATCAGTATTTTGTTTGAAAACTGATGGCATTGAATAAATATCTATTTCACCTGTAATCTAATTTAGCGTTTATGTTGCTCGATTTCATTGACACATATTCTTCATCACGATTTGGTATTGAGAGCAAATGTATATGATTTGCATATTATTAATTTTTTCTCATCGGATTTAATTACAGCACACATAAAGAAATTTATTTATTGATTTGAGCCGATCAAATTTTTTTATCTCCGTTATCATTCCCATAGTAAATTCTTAGAATATGTTTATTTCCTTGAGAAGACATTAAACGATTTGACATTGCTCAACTTTATGACTGAAACATACACGTGTGTCAAATGATTTATCTTAAGATATTTTCAGTCTCATATATATTGCGATTTATCCTATTTGAAGAAAAAAAATAGACATGTGAGTTGTTAAACGCACAGTGGAGCGTGTGAGAATATATATAACATTACATACCAGGCATAGAATTAATCCTTGCTAGGAAACCTAGGTGTCGGACGGAACCATCTGTACGAAAGTAGAGTGTCATACATCTTCCTGTGCTCTCAACTTCTTCCAATGGGTAAAATCCACTCTGATATCCTTCACAGTAATTATCACCACAAAATGTGGCAATAAGATTAGGTCCTATGTATTCGCCTGAATAAAGAAATAAAAATCAAGTGCTTTTTTGCAAGACCTATCTTATAAGACTATCCAAATGATAAAATAGTTATTGTAAATATGTCAATTATAGACCAACCAGCTTTTTAAAAAATAAATTCTTACAAGTAGAGGTGTATGTGTCGAAAATAACATACCGTCAAAAATATTGACATAATCATAATCGTCACAATTGTTGTCTCTTTCTGTTTGAAATATGAAGAAGTCCAAAACAATTATGTGCATTTGATTCACGGAGCAGAACGTCCATGTACAATTAACCCTGTGTGGATACTTATCGGGAAAGTTCGGTGTTGTAATTTCAACCTCATTATTAGGGTTTATGTCAATTTGTTCACCACAAACTAAAATAATCAGTATTCAATTCAACAAAATATGATATACTAGTAATAGTACTGTATGGAACTAATTTTCACCTTACTATAAATGTTCCGAATTTGATATTGTAATAGCTCATGGCTTCAACTAAATGTTGTTACTGAGCTACTGGCATAATACTTAAAATTTATTTCAATCCAGTACTGATCACTTACCAAGAACTATCTAAACGTCCCAAGAAATATATTTATTCACATTATAGAATATAACCCTTAATGTAATTCCATTGTCTCATTATACAATTGACTAGCACTAACTTAAATAAATATTACCTAGATTCCTATTGAAAACTTTAACAGTGTCGATTTAGATAAAATATTCACTTCAATAAATTCCATTAAATAATAAACTATACTTACAAAACTCTGGTGGATCATTGTGACTTGCATCCACTGATGATACGTAAAGTATCAATGCTATGAGAGGCAAAAACACACCCTTCATCTCGTATAAACAATTTAAAGCAATTAATTCACTAAAATGTACTCCTTTCTGATACTTAAGCGTTATGGCTCAATTTGTACAGACTTACTCAATTTATTGCAAAAGCTTTTGGTGTGTAACAATTTGATTGGACAGACTTACTCAATTTATTGCAAAAGCTTTTGGTGTGTAACAATTTGATTGGACATTTGAAATTTCCATTTTTGATTATTACACATATTTCATTTGATTAATGTGTTAGAAAATGGAATATGATTGGTTGCTTGGATGATGGTAATTTTCAAATTTTGGAAGGTATATCAATTGGTTATGGTATGATTATAATCAACCAATAGTAAAATCTGTATTGATTGTATGTATTAAAATAATCCTAGCAGATGTTACATACACACGTTGTTTTACGCTAATTTTATACTTATTCCCTTTTGAATATTATTTTCATTTTTAACTTAATAGATCTATTGCTCAATTTTCAAATTAGCTGAATTTGTTTCATGTTGGATGTAAATGGACAAGAAGGTTATAATTTTCTATCTTATCTATGTATTCGACTTGATTTTATGTAGTGTGTACAAATATGAATTTATGAACATAAAATCAACTTTGATTTTGTCTGTAGATGTATTTGTGTTGTAAATTTAGCTGTAAAATATTATGAAATTATCAATTCTAGATAACGTATAAATATATCTAGGATTATATTTTGAGCAAATGACACAGACACTAAATATTGCCAAAAGAGAGATAAGTCACGAAAAAAATTGCAAAAATTTTTTTTGTAAAAAGTTATAATTTTTTTTTTTTGGGAGAAGGTCGTAAAATTTTTTAAATTTTCTTTTTTATCAAAATATGGAAAAAAAGGAAACCGTCAAAAAAACATTAAAAACTCAAAAAAAACATGAAAAAATTGGCAAATTCCAATGTTGATTGAGTCCTGTAGATCAAGCAAAAAGAAAAGGGTCAACCCTAGGAAACATGGGCTCGAATATTTGTGGAATCGCGAATAAATCTCCTCATTAGTAATGCAAGCAGTTAGAAAATTGTTGAAATAATATTAAGAAAAATATCATGATAATTTAGGTAAAATGAATATGATTTAAAAACCTACCAATGACGCCCGAATGTGCTCTTTACTTTTCATTTCTGGTATCCTATTATATAGTCTCTAAACATTAGTCACGGGCAAATTTACTGAATCAGCTTTTACTTCTGTGCAATCAGTACAATTCTAGTAATTAATTATTTTGTAAAGAAGTCAAATTACTTATTTGTTTACATTTTGCTATTTTTTTGACAAATACTTCCACATTTATATAAACCTTAAGTAACCTTAAGTATTAAGCATCTTACAAGATACAGAGCTACACAACATATGTTTGTTCTTTCTAAAGACTGAAAAATTTATTTGTTTCTGAGGCATAAATGAAGTTATTTGATTTTATATACAGGTCGATGACAAGTTTATAAGTGATTTTTAAAACGACTGCCCCGTCAACTACCATAGTCATAAATCAACATGCCTCTAATATTCATGAGAATTTCGAAAACGTATTTGAAATGTAAACTAGTGTCAAGTAAGCAAACAAAATAAATTACAAATTGCAAACAACACTTACAATCTACGTTAATAACCAGACAGAGATCAAAATATGCAAAAATGCCTTTACTGCGTTAGTCACGCAGTAAAAATTCGAAGTCATAAATTGCACATAACATGAAAACTATTACTTGAATTTTGACTCATTCCATATTATCTTAAAATCTTGATTTGCTCCTATTTTAATTCTGACTTTTCAGGAGGCATGCATCTTTATTTTTTAATAGTTTGAATAAGGTGCTTTCTAGCAGGATGATTGTTTGTTTCTTATCTCCTAGAACGTGTTTGTAGGATATGTTAAAGTAAAAATTGTGTCGTATTTCCTCTAAAATAAATAAACAATTAAAAGCCAATATTTTTAATGTTAAATCTATAAATCTATAAATAACAAAACAAAACAAAAAAATTCAATGCAGGGTTGGGGGAAGGGGTTGGGGTTTTTTTTTGCTCCCGAGGGATTTCCCCCTTTTCAGACTTTAGCTCTCGTCGAGCACTTTACAGTGTTTGCTAACATATTATCTAAAATTGACAGAAGTTTAATTAAGTTCTTTAGTTATAATAATGTCACTATATTTTGAAACATAAATGATATGTTAATTGCTATCAAAACTTATGTTACTATATACGATTATAATAAGTTCTTTTATATTTTAAACTTGGAGAAATATATCTGTGATTTATATTCAAATAACTGCTGTTCAAATATTCTACTAAGATGTAAATAGAAATACATAAATATTGATTGCCTGAAGTCCGGTTAAAAAACATTTGTTACTTTATATTATTCATAAATCAATCACAGCTGTTCAAATCTTTTATCAAAATGAATATAGATTGATATATGTAAAAATAAATTTACGGAAGGCCATGTAAAGAATAATATTACTAAATATAACTAAATTAGCAAAGGTGTTTTGATATCTTGTAAAGATACAACTTAGAGACAGATGTACGTAAATTGCCTTGAATATATTATTCATTTCATCGACAAATGATTATTATCTTTTAAAACAATTCTAAAGTACTTATACGCGCTCGTAGTTTTAATAAAATATTTATTTCGAATGAAACAGTTTAAAAATTATTTTTCTGAAATACAAGTTATCAACCTAACAAACTATTCATAAGTCAAAACATACAATATTAAAGAGATGTTAACTAACTTGTGAACGATTAATTCTTTTCAGGATGACTTGACTGGTGGTGGGAAAGACTAATCTCTTTCGGTTTAAGAAGGCCTCATAAGCGGCACTAACGATTAATACGTTGACTTGAATGTGATTGTCATTTAAAGATATGATAAAATAAATTTATATGGAATTTTCGTATTTTTATTTTCCTTTAGTGTTGTTTGTCCTCTTTTCTTTTTCTGGAAGAGCCTTGTAGTTTAAACACTTCTCCTTGAACGTCATGTCCAAAATCAGATGTATGTTTTCTGTTTGTATGTATACGTATGAAGGTATTTCATCATTGTCTTAATATGTCTAATGATTTGTGTAAACAAATGCAGTAAAGCTTGTGTGTCATATAATATGCACAATGTTACTATCTTTTAATGCCATCATTTTGTTCCGTGTTCCTTCCATTTGAGATTTACTTTAAAAAATGATTTTTTCGTCGCCCAGATGTTTGTTAAGATTAAACCTATATCTACGACTAAATACGTCCAGAAAACACTTTATTTCTATAATCAACGAACATTCTATTAACATATTATCGCAAACTGAATAATAGATGAATATAATATAAGTTATACCCGGACAGAGAATAACAAATGTATTTTAAATTGATCATTTGATGACAATTGTATAAGCTGCTGGCATTTAAAGTGATATTTTCAAGCCTAATGCTTAATAATACTTTGTCACATTAGTCATGTTTCACTCCAACTTAATAATCTAGTAAAATGTACCTTATATGTGATACTAACAGTGCCCTCTGTGGTAAACGTGAGATTACATGATAAGCAAGGACAATATATTCATGCAAAATAATAATCATATAAAATACCCATTGTGTCATAAGCAAAAGACTGGAACACAATATATTCAAATATTCGAGTTATGTTTTTGTTAACATCATAAGCATTATAGTGTTGACTTAGTTTTAAATATTGCTATTATCATTAGCATATAAATTAACAAAGTTAATGTGTATTGACAATCTATCCCCGACATTATTGAGTGCACTCTTTGAATACATTAAACAATTATCTTTTGTCTGTTATAACAATATATTTCATGACATCAGAAAATTAACGTTTCAACTTATATTCCATTAAACAGACATTGTTCGAACAATTCAATGGTTAATTAAGATTTTTAAAATTTTTATTTTTATAAAACCATTTGCTTCATCAGACTTATTAATATCAGAAAACTTATTACGTCAACATATCATATCTGATTATACAGACAAGTCATGTACATTTCGTTCAGATAAAATGAATATATAATCAAAGCGCTGAAAGCACTGATGTATTCGCTGCGCATTATAAATACATATGTGTCTTACTAAAAATGTTGCAATTGTAACGAATAAAGGAATATGGGCCACTGAATTACAGATTATCAATCTGATAGAGACATTATTTAACACTGGTTGTTGAATATTACATTGAAAGATGGAAAGAAATAAGAATAAACTAAATGAGAACAACTTTATTACATTATCTAAGTGGTACAATAAAATATACATCCAAAATATGAATGCATGCAGTACATTCATGACTAGATCCTTAACATGATGAGAGAATTATGTTATAATGAATATATATACAGTAACAATACCTAGAATACTATATTGCTACATAAGCTTCAAATGTAATGACAGACAGATTACCTAGCTAAAGCATTTCAGTTTTGATGAAAATTGAAACTTGGAACATGTTAATTTCATGAAATTTAAGAAGAAAATATAGGTATTTTTGTAAAATACTTTAATTTCAAAAATTTCTGAGATTAAAAAAATACAAAAAAAGTACTTTTAATCGTTTGAGTATTATATTTTTAATTAGCCTGTAACAGTCAAAAATAAATTTTAAAGTCTGTTATTTACTTTTTTGCAAAGAAACATTACAAATGGAATGGGAGTATGAGGAAATGGCTTTAATAATGCAAAACAAGCAAAATGGGACAATAAGAGAAAAGGATGGTTGTAATATCTAATCTTTTTTTACCTACTGTGACCTTATCATGCAAAAGACCAAATTAATTTTAAGCGTTCTTGCACACAGTAAATGAGAATTTTTGACGTTTTCAAACTGAGTAGTTTAATATGACATTATTGAAATATGGATGATGGACAGACCAGGAATCTTTGACTGTCTGTAATAGCTGAGCTTTTGCTAATGTGAGCTAAAAAATGAGAATACTGATGTCAAGGATGATTCAATAATATCCAT